GGCAGGCACAGTGTGGCGTATTTTTTTTTTTTTTTTTTTTCCTGCCATTATCCAGGATTGTCTTTCCAAGTTGTTGCTTTTATCCAGGTACTGAAAAAACATTTCATCTACCATTTATGCCATATCAGGGTAAATTTAATTTCTTGACAGTCATGAATATCTCCATAATCCCTATAGGATAGCTCTTGGACACTGACTCACAGGCCTCTGCTCTCTGTAGAGGCCCAGAAAAGTTGGTTTTAGTTGCAGGGTGGTTTGTGGTGGTGCAACTTCCTGAGGAGGGGAAATGGAGAAGGAGGTGCCAATCCTTTCTTCCTGGTATGCAGTGATAGGCTGTGTGGGGATAGTTCAAAACTGCATCAGGGGAGGTTCAGACTTGACACTAGGAAACATTTCCTTACTGAGAGAGTGGTCAAACACTAAACCAGACTTGTTTTGAGAGGCGTTCAATGCCACAAGCCTGTCAGTGTTTGAGAGGCATTGTACAATGCACTTAATAACCTTAATATTTTTTTCTGTTTTTTGGTCCCTGAAGTGGTCAGGCAATTGGACTGAATGATCATTGTAGGTTTCTTTCAATTAACTGTTGTATTTTGTTCTATTCTAAATGTCCTTAAACAGGGGTTAGATCAGTGAAACAGGGTGAGATCAGATATTAGGAAAAAATCTTTACAGTAAGGGTGGTGAGGCCCTGCTACAGATTGCCCAGAGAAGCTGTGGCTGCCCCATCCCTGGGAGTGTTCAAGCCCAGGCTGGATGGGGCTTTGAGCAGTCTGGCCTGGTGGAAGGTGTCTTTGTCCATGGCTGGGGGGATGGAGCTGGRTGGTCTTTAATTTCCCTTCCTCCATTGTAACATTCTATGACTCTATGATGTAACAGTGAAGAACGTCTCAATGTACAGAAGGTTAGACAACCAAGTCCACTTCGCTTAGAACCCAGCACCTAAGTGTTTTGCTGTGTCTCCTTTTCCTGCACTAAATAGAATATGGAGAAATACGGGATGAAAAAAAACCTACTATAATGAAGCACATCTGCACTTGTCATTCTGGAGAGAGATCTCGTGAGTGAAGTGGTTATTGCAGCCATCTTGGCCACAGTGACCATGAAGAAATTGAGTTTAAAATCTCTGTTGACAGGAGGGAAAGGGCCAGTAAAACTTCAGCTCTGGACAAGAGGAGAGCTGAATTCAGGTTGCTCAGGGAACTAGTGAGTTAAATCCCCTGGGAAAATATTTTTATATTTGAGGGGATTGTCCTGCTTTGCTCTGCACTGGGGGCCTCACCTGGAGTCCTGTGAGCAGTTTTGGGTGACACAATAAAAAAACATTAGTGAGCATCCAAAGGAGGCCACAAGGATAGCGAAGGGTCTGGAGGGGAAGCCATACGAGGAGAGGCTGAGATCACTTGGTCGGTTCAGCCTGGAGGAGATTGAGGGGAGACCTCATTTGGGTCTTCAGAGTTCTCAAAAGGGGCAGTGGAGGGGCAGGCACTGATCTCTGCACTCTTGTGGCCCGTGACAGGACCTGAGGAAATGACTAGAGCTGAGTCATGAGGTGTTTAGGATGGATGTTAGGAAAAGGCTTTTCACCCAAAGGGTGTTTGAGCACTGGAACAGGCTCTGAGGGCAGTGGGACAGCACCAAGCCTGACAMGAGTTCMAGAAGCCTTTGGACAATGCTCTCAGGCACAGGGTGTGAGTCYTGGGGTGTCCTATGAAGGGCCAGGATTGGGATTCAAGGATCCTGAGAGGTCCCTTCCAACTCAACATATTCTATGATTCAGCTTGGGATTGTAGTGATTGAAAAGTCTGCCTTACTCCTGTATTTAGGAACTGTGCTGTCCTTAAGCATCTATTTCAGCAAACTGTGAAGTACATGCAAACTTTTGCAAATTTAAGCCGGGATTTCCAGAATCAGGAATGTCAGTAAATCACATTACTCGATTTATTATTCATATTGTGAGTTTATTGTGAATTAGGAATACAGACAGTGTTTTAATGGCACATGTGAAGGCTCTCACATATGCACCCTTGTTTTCATTGTGCACTTGAGAGAAGCATTAATATAAACAAAGAAGCAAATAATTATATACACCTTCTTTCCCAGAAAATCTCTGAAGCAGTTCCACCAGTGTGGCATATTATTCTAAGCATTTAACTATCCCATAAGTATATACATTAAAATTTATTTATCCACACTTGAATAATATTCTTTGTAAGCATGTTTTATTCCGGTATCTTACAAACATGATTTAGTTACATGTTTTTTGGTCTTGAAGTTACTCTGTTGGCTTTTGTGTTTTTATTAAATTATTTTAAGGCTAAATATGACCCACCACAATAACAAAAAAATGAGAAGAGAGGAAGAGGTAAAGCATTAGTCTCTCTATACTAGTATTTAATTTTTATTTTTTATTTTTAAATGTTTGTGGAATATGCATACTACCTTAGCTGAAATAAAGAAAAACATTTTAATAAGAAAGCAAAAGTAGATCAGAAAGGTCCAAAATCTTCTCATAGTACTAGTTTGTAACCCATTCTGGAAATAATCTGTAATCTAAATATAAAAGGTGTGTTTTGAGAAGCCTATTTAACAAGTATTTTGCTATTGTTGAGCCTTTCAATGATTTACTTTCATGGTTTAAGTATCTACTCAGACTTGTGCTCAAACTATGAGCTCCTCTGTGTCATAATTGTTGCCTTTGGGGTAGATTTGAAGAAATMATTATTTTTATTAATGTACAGTATCCATGTACTCGAAAATTTAAATGTGGTAAATTCTGTTCAACCATTTTCATGAACACCAGCTTTGGGTTTTAATTTTCAGTTACTAGAAAATTAAGAAAACATTCTCTTCTGTACATGTGGATGATTTTGTTTTCATTGAGGATTGAGAAAATACAACCTTCATTTGGTTGTATCTCCAACAATATTAGATTTACTATCTTTTCCTTCCTCCAGCAAGATTAGTTCAGTTCTTGCTGAAGATGTCACGATAGATGAGGCCCCATCAATTTCAGCTTTTTCACCCTCTGTTATTTCTTTAGGTGATAAACTTTCTTGTGCATCAAAAAACACATCCGGTTTATCTGTTGGGCTGTCTTCATCTGAGAGTCTTCCCTCTTTATGACCYACCTCTTCTTTGTCAACAGATTTGGCCTTTTTGGAAGGAGAAGTGAAGCCAAGCTTGGGAAATCGAAACCACCCCGTTTTTTCAGTCTGCTGAGAGGAATCATCTGATACATCAGCAGGTTTCGCATCTTCTGGAACTGATTTTTTTATTTCTGGTTTTGTGTCTGTGCTTGTTTCATCCCCAGAAGAAGAAAAGCCAACACTCGGAAGCCAAAATTTGAATCTTCCAGGAGATCTTTTACTATCAGTCTTTTCTTTTTCAGTGGTTACGTCTTTTTCTTCACCATCCACCACTTCAACTACATCTTCACCTTTAGAGAGAGGACCTGCAGCTATTCCCTCTGGTGATTTATCAGGAAAACTCTCTTCARGTTTACTGGAATACTTTACTTCAGCAGCAGATGTTTTAAACTTTGTCAGACTTACTTCTCTAGATTCTTCAGACTCATGGTGTAGTTTGTCAGAAGGTTTAAGCTCAGCGCTGCCAGTCCTCTGTGCTGCTGTTCCAAAGCTTTCACCAGCACCTYTAGGTTTTCTTGCTGATGCACCTCCTGTTGGAGATGGCTGCTGGATCAGCACTTCTAAATCGCTGCGTGATTCAGGCAACTTCGCCTTGAGCAAGGAGAATCCCAAAGTGGCTGTTTTGACCTCTGATGACAGAATCTCTGATTCTTTCACAATTTCAGTAGTGTAAATTTCACAYCTTTCAATAGCAACATGTTCAGGTTCTACTTTCTCACTTACTTCTTGACCCTCGGTGTAGGACCAATGAATGTCTTGCCCTGCACTTGAAAGGGAGGACTGTATGGTAGCTGTCATCTGTGCTG